CTTCTACTGTACAGCGCAGTGGAGTTGCATGATAACGACTTCAAGAGTACTCCACAACGGGGCTCCCTCTGATAAGGGGGAAAATCCAGCATTAGAAATAACATTTGGTCCAGACATTTCCCCCCCCCCCCCCCACAGCAAGAGGGGTGGAATCCTATCCCCAAACAATACTGGGTTTTGTTCCCATATATATATAATATAAATATATATAAAAAACAGTGGCCACTTTCATTCACATCTCTCCCCGGCGCTCTGGTGTGAATTTGCAACCAGCCGCCGTTTCTAAAGAGAAGAAAGGGCAGAGTTTTGCTAATAATTCACCCGACTGTGTTCGAAAGGAGAGGGACCATGGCCTGAAATTCAGCCCTGCGGGATCCAATTGGGATCGTTTACAGGGATCAGAGGTTTCGCCTTCCAAGCTTTTTGGGATTGCCAGAGCCCATCCTCACTGTCACCCTCCAAGTTCTTTCCCATCCACCAGCAGCTGCTGAGTGTCTCCTCCCCCGGCCTCACCTGCTTGAGTTTCAAGGCAGCCTGGACGGAAGGCCTGTTTTCCATCTGCTGGGCCAGCCTCCGGTTTCGAGCACTGGCTAATTGCTGCTGCTGCATAGTGGCGCGAATATTCACCGGGATCGGCTGTTTGTTCTTCAGCATATTAGTGAAGCTTCAAGGTCGAACAAAACGGGGGTGTTTAAGCAAAAGGTTTCATGTATAAACCCACTTTAAGAGGCATTTCACAGCCCTCTCAGAGCAGAAGGGAGGCGGGCGCACAGCTGCATCCCACGATTTTTTTTTTTTAATAAACGCAATAAAGGTGGTTACACACACACACAAGATCCCGTTTAAAGCGTAATGGGAACGCTTTTCTTTCTGTTTTCCTCATTTTTCCACAAAGCGTGCGAGGGGTGGGGAAGGGACGGGGGACAGACAGGGGGAACAGACACACACAACATTCGAAAGGCGTGGAGGGAAAACCAGAGACGGATGATGTCCGGATAAAATCAAGCAAAGGTGGGAAACGGGACAGAGCGAAGCAGAAGTGGCAGTGAAAAGACGGGGAGGAGGGCTGAGAGGGGAGGGGGAGGGATGCCTAAGTAGACAAGGGAGGGAGAGAGGGAGGTTTGGAGGATATTAAGAACTGCTGGGTTACTCCCAAAGCTACAACCTTCTAGAGACCAGGACAAATAAAGGAGATCAAAATGAAAGAATAGCGAATACTGCAAGCGCCCTCCAAGCCACCATCTTAGCAATAGCAGTTAGACTTATATACCGCTTCCTAGGGCTTTCAGCCCTCTCTAAGCGGTTTACAGAGTCAGCATATCGCCCCCACANGCCCTTTAAAAATGATGATTTAAATGGAGTTGATTTAAATCAAAACCTTTTTGACTGGGGATTGAAATCAGGGTTGAAACCGTGATCCAAATCGACTTGATTTAAATCCATCCTAACTACCAACCCCAACGATCCCCCCGAGACCGTTCGTCGGGTTCATTAAACTCACCTCTGCCGCCGAGGCCGCCCCGTCCCATGGCTCCTCGGCCCAGGCCACCCCTGCCGGGCCCTGCCCGCCCTCTCATGCCTCCTCTCCTCAGGCCCATCCGGGGGCCAAGACCCCGGCCCCCCCGAAGCAAACTGTATCCTGTAATGAGAGAGGGAGGGGAGAAGGGTCAAACACAGGAATCGCTTTCAGAGATTAAAGCCCTACCAGTAAATTCAAACTGGTTCTAATCCCCCCCCTCCAAACTTCTCAAGCCTCCTCCCCAGGTAAGAAATCACCCCTTCCCCAGGGCAAAACCAAAGAATCCCACCCTCCAGAAACACACTATCAAATTATTCCCCAGTTCTGTTCCACAGTGATGTGGCTTCGCACACAGCACACCGTCCGTCCATCCTCCCCATGGATGTGGCAAACTGGATCCAGTTTAACTGGATGCCAGTTTTGAACTTTCTCGCCTGCTTCAAAAAACCGACGGTCGCTTCCTGCCATTCCCACAACCACGCAGGTTTGTTACGGACAGGTAATCCTCAACTTACGACCGCTTGGAAGTTACGAAGGCGCTGAGAAATCAGGGACTTTAGAACCTGCATTTAGGAATGCTGCAGCGTTCCCTTCCGTCCAGTAATGATATTTCTATTCTCTTCACTAACGGTTCGGGCAGGCGCGTAAGGTCCTTGATGGCGGCAGGGCGGAGCCTCGCCTTTGTACCGCCTCTGCCTGTCACATGACCAAACTTCACACAACTGTGGTGTGTGTGTGTGATCGTTGTTTGAGATCTTTCCGGCGAGCTCCCATCAACAAACAAATTCGACAGATCGCTTGACTAACGTGACTCGCTTAACAACCGTAACGAAAAGAAAAAGGCTGCCGGATTAGGCATGACTGACTTGAGTAATCACCTTGCACAATAATAAGAAATTCTGGTCACAATTGGGGTCGTAAGTTAAGGACTATCTGTATTCTTAAAGACAGCAATATATGAGAAGCACAGAAAAACCACCACCGGTTTTTCATCTCGCCAAGGGTCACGTTTTTGAGAGCCCGCCCCCCCCTTTACGGCGCACTCACCTCGCAGCGGGATTCCTCCGCGCAGCAGCCCCCGCGCTCCGCGTCCCCCGCGCATGGCGCCCCGGGGCAAGCCTCTCTGCCCCATCGGCAGCCCCCGTCCTCCTAAGGCCCCACGAGCCAGGGCTCCCGCCGGGCGGCCTAATCGTGCCTGGATGTTACTTTTCCCCAGACGCTGCTTCAGGCTCTTCTGGAAGAAGGGAGGGTTAGAAGAGGAAGGGCAGGAGGGACAAGCAGGGGGTGCACATGGCACGCCCAGGTGTGAGCTAGCTTACATCACCTATAAGGCAGAAATTTGCATTAGCAGCGGCATCCCTGGGGGGGGGGGGGAGAGAAAATCACACGGCTGGCTTTTGCTGCAGGAAGACATCACTCTTAGTTCGGTGGCTGAATGACTACCTCTTAATTCAGTTTTGAGTTAGTAATTAATTAATTTTGAGTCAGTAATTAATTAATTTGAGGGGCTTCCAGAAAGGGGGGGGGGCGCAAGCTATTTTCCCAGGCACCGGAAAGCCAGACAAGGAATAATGGATGGAAATCAAACAAGGAGAGATTCGACATGGAAAATAAGGAGGAGAAAATTCTTGAGCGTAAGATCAACCCATGGGATAGAAGTTGCCTTCAGAAATTGGTGGATCTTCATCGTTGGAAGCTTTCGAGACTGGACTTCCATCAGTCAGAAATGGTGTAGGGTCTGCTTGAGGGGGGGGTGGACTAGATGACCTGCAAGGTGCCTTCCAACTCTGTTAATCTGATCTAAGCTTGAGGGCAAGCCAAAGGGGAGAGTAAATGCCCCCCACCTCCTTTGAATCCATCCAATAAATCCTTCCATTCGCCACCGGTCAGTTAGAACTGAAGCAACTTCTTGGATGAGAAGGAACACAGTTTTCAAAGGGAAAAATTAAAAAAAAGGAAGTCCAGATGCCTTTTGGGGGAGAGGGGGGGGAAAGCACTTTTGGGACAGAGGATCCCATTCCACAAAAGGATAGGAAGTGAGGAAGAGACATGTCAGCCGTAAGTTTTAAAAGTGGGCTTGGCTCGAGAAGGAAGATCCACGTTACCCTTTCAAATGCCTTTTTGCCGGCAGGGTGGAAAAATGTGAACAGCAATAGTCCTTAGATTTATATACAACTTCACAGTGCTTTATAGTCCTCCCTAAGCAGTTCACAGCATATTCTCCCCAGACCATCTGGGCCCTCGGAAGGATGGAAGGCCAAGTGTCCCTGTAATGGAATTTGCCACGTTACAAGCCTAGAGAGCTGAAAACAGTACAGGATTCTCTCGTGTGTGTGTGTGTGTATAAATGGCTCTGTGTGTGTATGTATTATGTGTATGTTTCATCATAACTCTGGAATGCCTCGAGCAATTTCAATCAAACTTGGTACACAGATGACTTACTCTCTGGAGAAAAATACTGGGGGTGGTGGTGTAAGACACCCCTAACACCCCTCGGGGGTGTGTGTGTTCCGTTAAGATACAGCCTGTTGTGCCTTAAAATGGCTTCTACTGTACAGCGCAGTAGAGTTGCATGATAACGGCTTCAAAGTACTCCACAACAGGGCTCCCTCTGATAAGACACAGCCTGTTGTGCCTTAAAATGGCTTCTACTGTACAGCGCAGTGGAGTTGCATGATAACGACTTCAAGAGTACTCCACAAAAGGGCTCCCTCTGATAAGACACAGCCTGTTGTGCCTTAAAATGGCTTCTACTGTACAGCGCAGTGGAGTTGCATGATAACGACTTCAAGAGTACTCCACAAAAGGGCTCCCTC